ACAGGTGGTTGTCTCTTTGGAAGTAAATCCCATTATTGGGTAATCTCACAGAAGTTGTTCCTTGTTTCCCATAGAAAAATCTTACTGTAGTTTAAATCTTATCTTCTAAGTAAAATTCCATCAGATAGGTAAAAAAGGTCAGTAAGCTTTTTTCTGTAAAGGCCTAGATAGTAACATTTTAGATTTTGTAGGCCGACCTAAAGCACCTGATCAACTCCAGTGTCATTGTAGCAGGAAAGTAGCCAAAGGTAACATGTGAACAAATAAGTATGGCTATGTTTCAATAAAACTATTTCTAAAAATAGTGGTGTATGTGCACACCATTGTCCATAACAGCATTATTCACAGTAGCCAAAAGATAGAAGCAACTCATGTGTCCATCAGTAGATGAGTGGATAAAGAAAATGTGTCCATACAAGAATATTATTCAGCCATGAAAGAGAATGGAATTTTGTACTTGCTACAACATGGGTGGACCTTGAAAACATGCTAGTGAAGTCCACCAGACACAGAATGACAAATACTGTTTGATTCCATTTATAAAAGGTACCTAGAATAGGCAAATTCGTAGAAACGGGAAGTAGAAAAGAGGTTACCAGGGGAGGGGGGGGCAGTTGTGTAATGGGTACCAAGTTTCTGTTAGGGATGATGAAGTCTCAGGTATAGATAGTGGTGATGGTTACACAGCATTGTGAATATGCTTGATGCCACTGAATTGCACATTCACAGATGGCTAAAATAAATATATTAAAAAATTTCTTAAACAATAGAAAGGAGGGGCGCCTGGGTGGCTCAGTTGGTTGAGTGTCCAGCTCTTGATTTTGGCCCAGGTCATGATCTCAGGGTCATGAGATCTAGCCCCACATCGGCTCTGTGCTGGGTGTGGAGCCTGCTTGAGATTCCCCCCCCCGACACACACACACTAAAACAATAGAAAGGAGACCGTGAAAATGTTGGAGGAAGGTTGGCAGGCTGGGTCCGGCTCACTGGCTGTACTCGGGGATTGTAAAAGTTGTCAGTCTCTACTTAGACTCACTCCATACATGTATTGTAGTTCTTGGTGATGTTAGTGACTGTTCTCTGGGTGCTTGGCGTTGTTGAATGTTGAAGTAAGAACTGAGTCTCAAGCCTCAGGAAGCATTTCCTCATTTGACTTGGGTCCCCCCCTCCAAATTCATAAATTAAAGTCCCAGTCCTCAACGTGATGGTATTTGGAAGTGGGGCTTTTGGGAAGTAATTGGGTTATGAGGGTGGAGCCCTTCTGGTGGGATTAGTGCCCTTGCAGATGAAGAGACAGAGAGATGATCCATCTCTCCACCCTGTGAGGGCACAGCAGGAAGGTTCTGTTGCCAAGCCAGGAAGAGAGCCTTTACCAGGAACTCAATGGGCTGGCACCTTAGTCACCGAAACTGTGAGGAATAAATTCCTGTTGTTTAAGCCCCCCGGTCTGTGGTATTTTTGTTAGAGCAGCCCAAACTAAGACAGCTTTTCTCACTTAGAATAAAGGCTCCGTGAGGGTAGAGACTTTGTTTTGTTTCTGGTGCCTTGGAACAGTGCCAGGCGCGTAGGAGGCCCGCAGTCACTGTGTGTTGAACAGTGTGAGGAATGTGATTTAGCCTGTGATTCCTTAACCCCAGATGGTGCCCAGGCGTACCGGGGAGGCGGTTCTCCTCGCAGTAGTCTCCTCCGGGCAGCCGTGGTCCTCAGCCTTGCTAGCGTTCTTCTATCGGAAGTACAAAAGGTGTGGAAAAATAGCCCCCCTGCCCGCCCGTGCATCTCTGTGGCACCTGAAGGTCGGTGTGGCAGTAGTTGCTCCTCGGTTGGAAGATCGGGGAGTGAGGGAATTGTCACAGCCCCGAGGACAAGAGCCGGGTTACAGCGCAGAGTCCTCGCTTTCTCACTTACATTTCCTGTCTTCCGTGAGTGCATCCAGCTGTGTTCTCCTTGGGCCTCTTCATCTGTAAAGAGGTTACCCGGGACATGTTGTTGAGATCATTCTAATTCCAAACTAGAGGCAGCTGGGCCTAACAGGAAAGGCCCCAGGCCCAGGAGTGAGGCTTCCCGCGCGCACGGCTGCCCCTTATTGGCCAGTCAGCCCTGAGCCGGTGCCGGGGCCTCTGTGGGCCTCAGCTTTCTCCTGTGAAGAGTCAACTTGCTAATTTGCCCGCTTCCAGGGTAATGTGCGCAGTAATGAAAATAGTGCCTGCACAGTAAACATTCGGTGAAATGCTGCTATTCTCTGATTCCTGGCAGTGGTGTATAATTTTTTCTAAAATGAAGAGTGGGCCCAGGTGCCTGGCTGGCTCAGTTGGTGGAGCGTGTGACTCTTGATCCCAGGGTTGTGAGTTCGAGCCCCACGTTGGGTGTAGGAGATGACCTAAAACAAAAGTTTTTTTTTTTTTTTTTTAAGATTTTACTTATTTATTTGACAGGGAACACAAACGGGGAGTGGGAGAGGGAGAAGCAGACTCCCCACCAAGCAGGGAGCCCGATGTGGGGCTCGATCCCAGGACTCTGGGATTATGACCTGAGCCGAAGGCAGACGCTTGAACGACTGAGCCACTCAGGCGCCCCTAAAATAAAATTTTTAAAAAATAAAATGAGCAGTGGGAGAAGAGAGACATTTAACATTTAAAAGTATCCTGTTCTGTGCTTTTCATCACTGAGTGATTGAACATGATAATGACCACGTGAATCAAATGAACCTACATTCTGCCTTTTTTTTTTTAAAGATTTTATTTATTTGAGAGAGAGAGAATGAGAGATAGAGAGCACGAGAGGGAAGAGGGTCAGAGGGAGAAGCAGACTCCCCGCTGAGCAGGGAGCCCGATGTGGGACTCGATCCCGGGACTCCAGGATCATGACCTGAGCCGAAGGCAGTCGCTTAACCAACTGAGCCACCCAGGCGCCCCCATTCTGCCTTTTTTAAAAAGATTTATTTATTGACTGGGTGGGGAGGGTCAGAGGGAGAAAATCTCCAGCAGACTCCATGCTGAGGGCGGAGCCTGGCATGGGGCTCAGTCTCACAACCCCGAGATCACCACCTGAGCTGAAACCAAGAGTCGGAGGCTTAACTGACTGTGCCACCCAGACGCCCCTACATTCTGTCTTTTTACGTTGCCCTCATACCCTAATGTCAGAGAACCTGGTGATAAACAGCTAGACATCATTTTTTTGATAGTAAGTGATGTCACTTGTAGGGGTTGGTTTGGTTGGTTTTTGGTCTTGTGTTTTAAGATTTTATTTTAGAGAGAGGGAGCATGCGGGGGTGGGGGCAGAGGCAGAGGGAGAGAGAGAATCTCAAGCCGACTCTCTCTCAGCCCGGAGCCTGATGCGGGGCTCGATCTCACGACCCTGAGATCATGACCTAAGAGGAAATCAAGAGTCAGACGCTTAACTGCCTGAGCCACCCAGACGCCCCTTTGGTCTTGTTTCTTAATACTGGTGGAAAGGTAAGAATTGAACAAGCCAGCTTTCGCTTCAGAAAGTCCTATTGTTATTGCCTTTTGGGAAGCATTTTGTTGGAGAAGCAGGACATTTCAGTCAGCATGGAAAACTTTGGAGCATCTTTATTTTCTGCTTTCAGCACCACAGTAGTGGAAGACCAACCAGTTTGGGCCTCTGGGCACTTGACCCTAGTGTAAGAGGCAAGGCCAACAAAAATTCAAAACAGCATGATTTAAAGTTTGTCAGCGTTGTTATCAAGAACTAAGGTAGGAGTTCAAGGAAAAGGTAAGAATCTGAGGCCAGAGCAATAGAGTCAACAACCCCTCGGAGAATCTCTCCTGCCAGGCGCTTGTGAGTTAACCTGGGAGGAGCACAGCCTGGTTGCATTATGGAGGGCTTGTGCCTAGGAGAAATGGAAGGTCAGGCTAGCGGTGTAAACTGGAACCAGGCAGCAAGGGACCCAGGATGCCAAGTTGGAGTACAATTTATACCTCTGAAGGGTTCATACCACGTGAAAATATACCAGCTGCATTTTCTGTATCAGTTGATTCTTTATTATAGCATCGCGGCAGAGAATGGAATTGGGAAGATGAATTAAGAAATTAACGATAGTCGTTGAGGTCTGAGATACTAAGAACTAACTGGATGGCAGTGGGACAAAGGGAGAAGACCTTTCAAAAAATCAACAGGATTTGGTGTCTGGGATGTAGGAGATTAATTATGGGGGTCAGTATTCCTTTCTTTTAACCTGTTGGATTTGTGATGATAGTAAGACATATAAGTAGAGATGTCCTACCTTCTTCGAACACGTGTTTATTTATTGAGGGCCAGCTCTCTGCAGACTGAACCGGGCTCTCGGGATACCTGGGGATCAAAACTTAGAAGCATTCCTGTCCTCGTGGCGCTTACTGTCTAGTGGGCAAGGCCGACAGAAATCCCATTGCTGTGATTAGAACTTGCCTGCGAACAGGCCACGGGATTAGGGTGAGGGGCTGGGAGTACACGTGGAGAACTGAAAGGCCAGCAGAGCGGGAGCGAAGAGTGAAGAGGGAGAGCAGCAAGAGTGAGGTGCTGGAGGGGAAGGCAGGGGCCCGGCTGCAGGGCGAAGGCTGGGGCGTCAGACTCAGGTCAGGGTCGCCGTGTTGCTGGTTAACAGGAAATTTGTAGGGTGGACAGAAAGCAGAAACTCTGAGAAGTGGTGGGAGGAGAAGCAAGGAAGCTTGACAAGAAGGCAGTTCGAGAAGTGGGAGTGGAACCAGGCAGGTGAATGCCGAGTCAGGAATGGGGAATACTCCCAACAGGCTGAGAAGGAGCACTGGCTCTGGGTTTGGTGCTGTTGGGTTTGGCATCGCAGATTTTGGTGACCTTCGGGCAGAAACAGGATTTCTGGCGACTGAAGAGAAAGGCTGGGTGGTTAAGAAATGGGCTAGCAGCTATAAATCAGCCGTTCCAGAAGCTGCTAATGAAAGCACTTTTCATAGTTTTTAAAAACGTATTTGCCCACATACACATTTTTACTCCGTTAAAATAATCAATCTTATGGTGTGTTTCAGATGAAAAAAAAGATATTGACCATGAGACAGTGGTTGAAGAGCAGATCATTGGAGAGAACTCCCCTCCTGATTATTCAGAGTATATGACAGGGAAGAAGCTTCCTCCTGGAGGGATACCTGGCATTGACCTCTCAGACCCCAAACAACTGGCAGAATTTGCTAGGTAAGCCCTAAGAATTTCTTTTCTTTCTCATTCCTAAAGTACTTAGAGTCAGCAGCTGTGTCTTTGTGTCTAAGTTACAATGGTGGCTCATAGTCTTGCTCCAGGGAAACTTGTAAAAACAAAAGCAGTTCATTTTGTTTGTAGGGGTAACTGCGCTGTTAATGTGCATGGCACCATTTTAGATCCTTGCTGACAGTGGGATGAAGCAACTACTTCTTAATTCTGTAGTTGGTTTTGCTTGTGAATAAATAAAATTGCACTGAATTGGTTTGGAAATGGGTATCTTTACACTAGCTCCTAGCAGCTGGAGGGTGCTGTGCTGGAGCAAGCTGTGGGGGCCTGGGTCGGAGCTGGGCGGGCACAGCTGACCACTGGGAAGGAGTCATCAGTTCCTATTTCAGTGTGTCCTCAGTTAAGCTCCGAGGGTTCTGTTCATTGAAGTGGGCATGACAGGAAGAGATCAAATATTTATGGCGGGGACCCCTGTGACTGGCCACGGTGAGCAGTCAGGAAGGTCTGGACCCACCAGAGGCTTGTTTGTCCTGAAGCAGGCTGGGCTCCTGTAGAAGCCTCTGCCCCCGTTGGTAGTATTTATTTCCCAGCGTCGTTGGACAGTTTCTACGAGGACATGAGAACACACTCAAAGACAGGTTTAAGTAAAATGAAGTGAATTCATAAACTCCGGAGCAGAAGGATGACCTCCTTCCCCCCCCTGAGGTTGGGTGGAGCCTGGAGGAGCCAGGAAACTGAGCCAAGGGCAGGATGAGGAGGAGCGACATCTCTGTGACCCGCCCCGTCTAGGGACAGAGCAGGGACCCTGGTCTTTCTTTTTCTTGAGAGCAGAGTGGAATAGATGAGAGCTGGAGGGCTCACGTGTCCTGGCGTCTCCCAGCCCTGCCAAAAACAAGGTGGGTCCTGCCGTTGGGAGCCTCAGTTTCCCCATGTGTCAGAGGTGTTGTAATAAAGGGTTATGTGCCCTTTTCTCCTGTCCCATGAAACTGCCGCCGTAGGGAATCTACACGTGAGTCTATTTCTGATTGATCACGGCTGAACAAAAAAAAAGTTAAGGCTTCTGTCCTTTCGTGAACGACATTGTGTCTCCCAGCTTTTGTTGCCTTTCGTATTTTAAATACGGGTATGCTACTCAAATGTTACTCCATCCCCCCCCCCCCCCCCCCGCCAGTACAAATAAAAATGGAATCTGTAGATGGAGTCAGCGGTGAGGTTAGAGTTTTGGGGCAGATGGAGTCAAATTGTGTGCCAATGTTTAGCATTGTCATGTGTTTTTAAAGTTAGTCATCCCTTGTTAACGTACTTGGAATTTAGCGAGGGTAGAGGATGCTGTCCCCAGGGGTAGGCATACAGAATGAAGGAGTCAAGGAAAGCCTTGTAGAGGCGGTGGCATCTGACTTGAGCCTTGAAAAACACTTGAGATTTGGGGGGGGCAGGTGGGGTTCCCATGGTGGGCCTAATGCTAGTGTGGCATGAGTGTGGTGGAAAGGTTAGGTACTCAACCCTCATCCGATATACGCTCAGAAAAGGATAAGTAGGTTTGGCTGGGAATTCGGATGCTCACAGGGAGATAGTTGGAGTGTAAGGGTTCTCTGAGTACCGGGCCCACATCTGGGGATGTTGTCAGTGTGCAGTGGACAGCTGCCAGAGGTGTGTGAGCAGTAGAGAAGGGGTTCTGTGATCAGAGGTTGGCTTTGAGAGGAGGCCGCGTCTGCTGTGTCCAGGCTGGGTCAGCAAAGGGCCAGACAGGGAGTGGGAGAGGTCATGAAGGCCTGAGCTGGCACCGCGGCGGCCAGATGGTGGAAGAATAAACGAGGTGAGGGTGGCGGGAGATGAGATTGAGAACCAGACCGGCCGTGTGTCTCCGGGAAGGAGGACTCAGAACAGAAGTTGAATGCTTCACGCCTCAGGTGGCACGAGATTGGGAGGGGGTGCTGGTTTGGGGTTCAGGGCGGGCATTGTTTGGCTTTAGATGGTAATGAATCATCCCTGTTGGGCCTGAGGTGGTTTCAGGAAGTACATCAGGGCTAGACTCATCTGCTGCACCGTGGCTGAGGCCGAAAGTGGCCCAGACGTCCGCGCTGTGAGAGGCCTGTTGATGGGAGGCCGGTCTTGGGAAAACCCTGTGATCGGAGGGCAAGGGAACCAGTGACAGGGCACAGGGCGCATTCAGACAGACAGGGTGGCTCAGGGAAGTACGTACAGCATCACAAAAGCCAGGGGAGTGCTCAGAAGGTCCAAGAGGGGGACTGCCCTCTCAGTTATTCTTTGCGGAATGATTCCAGTGGAGGAGCCGAGGGCTGAGGCAGGATCTTACAGAGGGCGGGGACCTGGGGGGGGCGAGCAGAAGTGATGAGGTGTTGGTGACCCTTGGTGGTGGTCACCCTCATTGCTGAATTGGGGCAGCTGGTCTGGAAGCTTGTCCACAGTTTCCTGAACAGAAAATCTGTGTCGGGCCTGCACTCGGGAGGTGCGTGTCACTGTTGTCGAATAGAAGCTTCTGCTTGTTTCCCAAGTGGCCTCGAGCCTGCCTCGGGGCTGCCTTCAACCCTCCTAGACCTGAATGAGACTTTTCTTCACCAGCAGTAGATAATTAGAAGACCGTGGAGTCACGTTTTGAGATTTGTGAGGAAAAGTTGCTGTAAACATATAGAAGTCTTGATCCAGCAAAGCTGTCGGGTCAGCTACGATTGTAGACACGTAAGGATTCATTTTATGTTGCACTTACCCTTTCTGAGGGGGCTACTGGAGGATATGCTCCGGGAAGACGAGGCTGCACATCAGAAGGAAGCCTTCTAAAGACCCTGGCGGACAGAGAATCAGGAGGGCTGCTGTGCGGCAGGCTGGAAACCCATTCAGTGGGGGACAGAAAGTCGGTGAATTGTAGGGCTTTCTTCGGGAAAAGTTGAGTTCATTCAGCAGTGCACAGAATGAGTAAGAAGCCAGAAGGTCTTGGCGGTATGGGAAAGAGTTTTCTAAAAAGGAAAAGATAACGAGAAACCCCCTGAAGAGAGAGGCGGTGCTAAGAAAGCCATGGCCTAAAAGTGGGCATCAGTTTGATGATGGTTGAAGTGCACTGAACTTGTTTGGCCTGACTCTGCAAGTCTCTCCTTGGTCCTGAGGCAACTGTGTTGGACTCACAGGGCAAGAAATGCGATCCTAGCACACGGCTAACACTCTACATACAGTAGGCGATCTGTTTCCATAATCATCTGAATATCGTGTGTGTTTCTTCCTGTTAAAGGTTTCATTTTGTGTACAGAATAGAACGAGATCTTGCTCATCCTGACAGTGTATACCAAGTGAGGGTAAAGGGTTGGGCTCCCGCTCATCCCCCTTGTTCTTAGTACCCTGGAACAGATCACGGACAACTCTCAAGCCTCTGGACGGTGGTGGTGGTGAGAGGTACTGGAGCCTGGAATGCCCTCTTTTGTTAGGTCTTTGCATTTTGAAAATGTGTGTAACCAACCGCTGAAGAGGATTTTCCAGGGGCCCCGGCATTGGTGACTGGGACTCTGAAAGCCAAAGACAAAGAGGCACCAAGTTTCAAATTGTTGGGGGCCAGACCCTGTCTTCTCCTCTAGTAAAGACCCACAGAACCCCCTTTATCCACCTCCGCTCCATGGCTCAGCTGTTGGCTTGAGGTAGCATGTTAGCTGCTTTTCCCTCTCTTCTGTGCTGGGGAGAGGGGGTTCTGCACTGGCCTTGGAACTGACCAAAGAGTGGTTCGGGTTCCTGCCGCACCGAGCCTAGAGAATTGGTTAGGAGTAAGTAAATCAGTTACATGGGGGAGGGGGGCAAGTATGAGAAATAAGGACTTTTCATCGGAAAGTCCTGGTATTGGGGGGGGTGACTTTGTTCTTTTTTAAATACTTCACAGTGTGGCCAGTGGGTGGGACCTGGTGAGTTCTTGTTCCTGATTAAATGAGCAGCCTTTGTGCCCTTTTCATTAACTACAGTTAGCCCTTCGGAAACTTCCGGTCTAGAAAGATCAGAATTAAGAGTGCTTAGGTCAGTCACACAAGCTGGTTAATTTAGTTGTCGTCCACCACCCACCCTGAGACTTTTTCGCAGGAATAGCCTAAAGACGAGCTGGCGTAGCGGAGCTGGAAGGACCGCCAGGAAAATGTGCTCTCTCTGTAGGAGATACTTTGTCCGGCGAACTCAGTCTCGTTTGTCTGAGGCACCCCTCTTCTTTGCACCAAGAAGGGAGGGGAGTTGCGGTTGCAGAGGGGAGCTGGGTTCCAGGAACTTCTGCCCCACCAACACAGATCCCCATGGGGGTTCCAGGCTGAAGGCGACTAAGCTTATCGTTTTGCTGTGAACAGGACTCTCTTCATTCGAGAATCTCTGATTTAAAAACAGTTCATCTCGGCGTCTGGGACATTGAGCTTTAACTTAGAACTCTGGTTTCACCCTGCCCGAAGTGGTGCCAGGAGATTCCTGCAGGTTTTTGGTCCCGGAGTCCAGCCTTTACAGTGCCGCCCCCACCCCCAGGGTGCGGAGTGAGCCCGGGCAGACCGCGGAGTGCCCTCCGCTTCCCGTTGGACAGGAAGCTTCTCTTGTTGCGTACCCGGCTCTTCCACGTACTTTGTAATCTATTGAAGGTGGCCTTCTACTCGACTTGTGCCGTTTTTCTCTAGTCTCTCAGTCCTTTAGTTGAAAACGGTGGCTTGGAGCACCAGAACCTTCTGGACTGTTAAGTGCGACTGGCTTTTTTTTTCTTTTTTTTTCTTTTTTTTAGGAATGAACTTATTTTTAGCTAGGCCCACTTAACACACAGCTGGGGATAAGAACAGCTGTCATTCCCCCAGAGCTTCACGTGCATCTTCTCTTTGAGTCTTGGCAGCTACACGGCAGGTAGCAGTCCACCTTTTTACAGAGTGAGAAACTGAGGCTGAGAAGTTCAGTGATTTGCTCAAGGTCGTACAGCTGGTAGGAGTCGGCGTCAAGCCCGGCCCCGTGCCCCCCCCCCCCCCCGCCCATCCACCAGCGCCTCTGCTGTCGGTGGCGTCCTGTGTAGTCTCCCAGTCGAGGGAAAACGCAAATCTTGGTTATTCTTAACAGTTTGAATATGAAGAGATGTTGAATATGAATATGAAGAGGCATGTTGAAGAGATACTCCAAGTAGCAGTATATGAGTTTAGGCTTTTTAAAAATTACTTTTTTAGGATTTCAAATACTTTTTTTATTTTGTAGGTTATATATCAGTTGGTGCCATGAAGATTTTAGTCTTTACTCACGAAAAAAAAAAAAAACCCACTTTTAATCTAGTTTTCGGAAAATGACCTTTTCAATGTTTGCCTTCAAGTAAAATATAAAAGGCACCACCAACACACACTGCCTCATTTGCCACTCTGGGGAAGGAGGGTTTGCCAGGGAACTTACGAGTGGCTGCAATTCAACCTTTCCCTTCTTGCATCCAAGGGTGTTTGTCCAAATACATTTTAAACTTTCATTCTAAAATCAGTTATATTGCTACATGCTGGCACACATTTTGCAAATGACATTTTAAGAAAAAATACCACTTAATAACATTTAAGAAATCAAGAGTTTGGTAAATGGTACCTGGGACTGTGCCCTTTAATTTTGTGTATATTTGAAAATTTCCATGATAAGTTTTTAAAAATCAAGTTTCTGGGAATAAATTTAAGAAAATGTCAGGGGTGGGGTGGGCACACCTGTCCTGCAGCAGGCACCTCACTGACATGGACACCCCACATTGGAACCCCAGATGGGTGGGGCAGGAAGTGGTTGTCTGTACGACTTATCTGTCAGCCCAGTGGACATTTTTTAAAGTTGGTTTATTAACAAAATTTGCAAACAGTAAAATTCACCCTCTTTAGGTGAGTACCACTCTTGCGAATTTGGACAGACACGATCACGTAGCCGTGTCTGCATTCGAGAGAGACAGAGCATTTCAGTGTAATCATCAAAGAGTAAATGTTGTTATTCATTGGGAAGACGGATAATACACTTTTTTCTTATTAATACTTGATTGGAGTAGAACCCATTCCTGTGAATCACTGTTGTTTTCCAAACTCTGATCTAACCTCCAGGTGGCGCAGTGGCACCAAATTTTTGTCCTACAAAGTTCTCTGAGCTCAGACCAGCTCCAGGGTTTAATGGTGTTTCAGATAACAGGCTAGCTCAAAGCCCTGTACACAGCAGGCATTTAGAAAATATTTGCTTACTGATAGGGTGATCCCCCAAGTAGAAGAAAGAAGGAGTATCTACAGGGTTGGAAGGGGGGCGGATACCAAGCTGGAGATGTTCTCAGAATTTAAAGTAGGAAATTCATACCGTCTTGAACAGACTTCCTCTAGAAGTAAGTTCCAGTCGCCAGAGAAGTTGGTTCACCAATACTCCTCGAGGGAGGGAGAGTTTAACTAGATGACTTTGTCAGCTCAGGTTTTATAAAACAAAATCTTCAGGTCATCCTTTTCGCAGATCAAGGGTGAAGAAGGACCTTTGCGCTAGGGCCTTTGCTAACTTGATGACCGCAGAAATCTTTTGTGATGAGAGAGTGCTGGTAAGTTAGCTCTTACTGGTAAGGCATCGCTGACCTCGTGGCTCGTTTGTTAACTGCACCCTCACGTAGGGCAGTGAGGTGGCAGACGGGACAGAAGGAGCGTCTTTCTCGAAGATGTAAATTTTTTTTTCTAGTCTCTCTAGGAACTTTTAATCTCTCACCCCTCTACCACACACAGATCTGTAGGGAGTATTTGGAGAGAAAGTTTTGACAAAAGACCAAAGGTTGGTTCAGTGGAAATAGCAGGTAGGTAAGCTACCAAATCAGCAAGCTCCCTGGGTAGTGAGTCCGCATGGGGCTCCTGTTACACCCCAGTCCCAAAGCAGGGCTGGAAATCTCTGTCATTTTTTTTTGTTTGTTTGTTTGTTTTTTTCTTAATGCTCTCATTATTTGAAAAACAGTAACCTCCCTCCCACCCCCACCATCAAAAGTAGTAGTAGGATAAAATTCAACAGTGGGAAAGGGTATGGGGTGTTCGCACCTGTTCACCAGTCCCTGGGGGCTCCTCCCCAAAACACCAGTACCAAGTTCATTTACTATGTTTCTTTCCAGAGATAATGTATATAAATGATTTTCTGTTTTACAAGGACTCTTCTGTGCCCTTTTTAAAAAAATTCTCTCTCCTAAAGATAATGTCTGTCAGTATAAAATGAACCCTCCCTCCTTTTTTTTAAGCGGTTTTGTAGGGATCTGTGTTTAAGACCCTCCCCCATCTGCTGCTTCCTTTTCACAGGGTGTCTTTGTTACCACAGCAGCTGCTCCTGGATACCTTGCTTTGCTCTCACCAAGAGATTCCTCTGTGGTTTGGGCTGGTGGTCTTTTGTGTTATTTCAAGAGTTTGGAGGAAAGAGCAGATATTTGAAGCGCACAGACCTCAGTGCCGGTCTGAGCTGCCATGGTCTGAGCTGCCCTGGCTCGCTCGCTGCGAGACCATGGCAGCGACTCAGGCTTTGTGAGCACCAGCACCCACACCTGTGAAATGGGAAGGGTGCTTCCCAGTCATGGGTACTCGGGGAATGTGGTAGCATCCTTTCCCTCCTGGGCGCCACCTATAACCGTAGTTGTTTGTATCTGTAAGGAAAACATTGTAGGGGCTATATGATTTATGCCAGATGAGTCTACCCACTCCTACAAATCTCTCTCTCTCTCTCTCTTCTCTTTTTTTTTTTTTTTTTTTTTTTTGGTAAGAATGAAGCCAAGAAAAATTAAAGAAGATGATGCTCCAAGAACAATAGCTTGCCCTCATAAAGTAAGTAATGCTAGGGGAACAGTGTTTGTTAAACTGCCAATGAAGATTTAGAGAGCTCGTAAGCAATCTGCACTTTTATTTCCATCTAATAATTGAGGAACAAAAGTCTTTGTTTTCTAAATTCAAGAGGCTATATTTGTGGTGGGTTTTGTTGTTCAGTAAAGGCCACTTAAATTTAAATACTGTTAATGGGGCTACTGTAAGGCGCCAGTGTTTTTGCTCTTACTGTATATTGAACATACAATGTTAGGATTTTATTTCTTCCTTTTGGATCATGAACAAGTCAATCTTGAGACATTGGGTTGTGTCTCACCCATGGACCTTTGTGGGGCTGAAAGCTCATTATGGAAATTTGGAAATTATTTTGGATGCTGCTAAAGTAAGCCTAATAAAACTACATCTCTCTCACAATTTTCTTAATTTGCCCTGTTAACTGTGTGTTACTAGAGGGGTGCTTAATTGTTTTCAAATGTGGCTAGTCTTCCAAAGGAAAGGATCACCTAAAAAGTACTTTGAGGTGTTGGTTGGGTCTGTTTCACACTTAGTTGGATGGATGTAAAACTTAACAGAAAAAGAAGTATCACGGAGGTGGGGAGAAAGTTTTAATGGGGTAAAGAATTTTTAAAAATCAGTAATTGAAGAAGGATGAGTTTCATTTGGCGATGTCCTTCTAATGACCACTCAACAGGTTCTTTGGTTTTTCAACACACTTAGTGAATGGTGATTTTGAGATGTAAAACAAGTTCCTTTGGGGGCCAACATGTAAAGAAGCATTTGAAAACAGTTAGGCCCTAAGTGTCTGTCCTCCCTCTAGCTTCTCTGTGTACTTCTTCCCCAAATTTACATTTTTTAAAAAAACTCCATTTGCTAAATGGAAACACCGCCCGGGGTCAAGGAGCCAAAGCCGTGGCTCCCCCTCCCTCGTGCCTGTGAGGCTGTCGTCCTGTCCGCTCCTCCTCCACCCGCTCTACCCCTGGACAGCAACTGCAGAAGAAAGTTGGGAAGGCCATGCTTGTCCTGAGCGGTGCACGCCCGTCCACGCCCCCTCCCCGCTCCAGCGTCCGTGTGCCTGCTTCCTTTCCTGGTGTCTCACAAAATCAATTTCTTCTGTAGTTGCCATTCCTTGGAGACCCTCTTGCTTCTTTCTCTGTCAAGAAGGGGAAAGAGGCAAAGAGAGAAGAGGGAACAGTAGACGATGGAGAGTGGCAGCCCATTCTTGCAGCCCAGAATATGGGGCCCACCAAAGGTAGTGGTGGACCGCTCGCCTTTCAGCCCCATTTGTTTACCAGGGCTTCTGCTACTTCAGCTGGGCACAGAGTTGGGTGAGGCAGCTGTGGTGTGGCTGGAATCCAGGCTGCTGGGTTCTACCCCCAGCTCGGCTCCTACGAGCAGTGTGACCTTGGGCAAGTCTCCTCAAAGACATCCCTGAGCCTCAGTTTCCTGATCTGTAACACGAGGGTTTGCATTAAATGAGAAGGCCTTTTCCAGCTGTCTGGTTTTTGTCTTAAATCATTTAATATTTCTACTGTGATACTGAGTAAAACGTAAGTGGCGGGGGGACCGGGGGCGGTTTTGTTTCTTGGGTCAGTGAAGGCTGTTGTTTTAAGTGGTTGAATTCTTTGTAACACTTTGCAGTGAGAACCACTAAGCTTCTCTCTCTGTTTGAAGGGCTGCACAAAGATGTTCAGGGATAACTCTGCCATGCGAAAGCACCTGCACACCCACGGCCCCCGAGTCCACGTCTGTGCAGAGTGTGGCAAAGCTTTTGTTGAGAGCTCAAAACTAAAACGACACCAACTGGTTCATACTGGAGAGAAGCCCTTTCAGGTAGAGCTCGTCCCTTCTCCCCCTCCCCACACCACCTGGCAAGTGTAGGCGGGGCTATGGGCACTGGAGGGCCGGAGAGACGGGGCTCTCAGCGCTCCTTAGGGAGGAGCCAAAACGGTGTCCCGTTGGCGAGGCCGCAAGGGCTGCCGCAGCCCTTGGCTTTCCCCGTGTGCAGTGTCTCCGGTCCTAGAGACGGGGGGACAGGGTGTATCGGGGTGTTGATGGGGTGTACTTTGTATCAGGAGGAAAACTGGATTGCTCAAGAGCAAGCCTAAAACTGCATTTCTAGTGCATTCACTGTGGGATTGAAGCAGTTTATTTTCGGTAGTTGATGGAAGTATATTGAATTACTAATTGACGGGGGAACTTCCAAAATTTTACCGAATGGAATAAGTATAGGCGATGTTTTGTCTTGTTTTTAGAAACCCATCGCAAGTGAACGAACTAGCAATGCAGCTCTCAATTTTTTTTTAAAGATTTATTTATTTGAGAGAGCGAGAGTGAGAGAGAGAGTACATGAGAGGTGGGAGGGTCAGAGGGAGAAGCAGGCTCCTCGCTAAGCAGGGAGCCTGATGCGGGACTTGATCCCGGGACTCCAGGATCATGACCTGAGCCGAAGGCAGTCGCTTAACCAACTGAGCCACCCAGGCGCCCCGCAGCTCTCGATTTAACACGGTTCTTTTTGATACCTGACACCAGAAACCTTCCTAATCGATTGTATTTCATTATTTGAAACATTGACATAAGTACTAAGACCATAACATGATCCCGAGGAAGATTCTTGGTGTTTTGCCAAGTGTGTCTCTTACTCCGTATTTAAAATAATTCCTGAGAGTTGTGCCTGGGTTTCGGAGTGGTCCGCATGCAGAGTTCGAGCCCCATGCCTGTTCGTCCTGGGGTGGGACTGGGCCCGGGACTGGCGCGTTTTCCCCAGAGCGGGGAGGACGAGGTGTGTGGCCCAAGAGGCGGGCTGTTCGCCGCCCCGCCCGCCGCCCCGCCCTTTTGGCCCCGGCGCAGTCACTGAGCTGGGTTATCTCTGGTCTTTCCTCGACAGTGCACATTCGAAGGCTGCGGGAAACGCTTTTCACTGGACTTCAATTTGCGCACACACGTGCGAATCCATACCGGAGACAGGCCCTATGTGTGCCCCTTCGACGGCTGTAATAAGAAGTTTGCTCAGTCAACTAACCTGAAATCTCACATCTTAACACACGCTAAGGCCAAAAACAACCAGTGAGAAGAAGATGGAGAAGACCCTTCTCGACCCCGGGGAGCATCTTCCAGGAGTGTGATTGGGAATAAATAGGCCTCTCCTTTGTATATTGTTTCTAGGAAAGAATTTTAAAAATGAATCCTACACACCTAAGGGACATGTTTTGATAAAGTAGTAAAAATTTAAAAAAAAAAACTTTAATAAGATGACATTGCTAAGATGCTCTATCTTGCTCTGTAATCTCGTTTCAAAAACACGGTGTTTTTGTAAAGTGTGGTCCCAACAGGAGGACAATTCATGAACTTCGCATCAAAAGACAATTCTTTATACAACAGTGCTAAAAATGGGACTTCTTTTCACATTCTTATAAATATGAAGCTCACCTGTTGCTTACAATTTTTTTAATTTTGTATTTTCCAAGTGTGCATATTGTACACTTTTTGGGGATATGCTTAGTAATGCTATGTGTGATTTTTCTGGAGGTTGATAACTTTGCTTGCAGTAGATTTTCTTTAAAAGAATGGGCAGTTACATGCATACTTCAAAAGTATTTTCCTGTAAAAAAAAGTTATATAGGTTTTGTTTGCTATCTTAATTTTGGTTGTATTCTTTGATGTTAACACATTTTGTATAATTGTATCGTATAGCTGTATTGAATCATGTAGTATCAAATATTAGATGTGATTTAATAGTGTTAATCAATTTAAACCCATTTTAGTCACTTTTTTTTTTCCGAAAAATACTGCCAGATGCTGATGTTCAGTGTAATTTCTTTGCCTGTTCAGTTACAGAAAGTGGTGCTCAGTTGTAGAATGTCTTGTACCTTTTACCACCTGACGTGTACACCCCGTGTAACAGAAAAGGGCAACAATAAAACAGCAATCCTACAGAAAGAATATGGCAGAAAAAGATCTGTAAGCACAGTCTTATTTCCTTTTGTTGTCCAGAATAATTATAATTCTCGAGCCTCCCAGAAATTGGAAGCTAAATAAAGCAACTCAAGTTTCCTTTATTTTGCACTCAACTACAGTGACTTGTGATTGCAGCGGTGCATAGATATTTCAGGACTTCCTACGCGTGCTGAATTCTGGGAGAGAGTAGGTGACAGGCATCCCAAGTTAAGGAACTACCTCAGAGTACCCCAAACCAGGCCCGTTGGTGATAGGATTTTGATGTTAGCTCCCCCCCCCCCCCCCCCCGCCCCCCCGCCCCCCCCAAAAGTGTGACTGGAGCAGTTGTGCCCCGGCCTGTGTGTGTGCTCTCAAGGTAAGCTGTCACCTGGACGGGGCGCGAGCAGAGGGGAGACCCGAGGGCACTTGCCTGCACAGGCTGCCTTCACGGCGGCTCCAGCGGGTCCTTGGCTGGCCTGATGGGAAGCGCTTAGGGTTCTTCCTGGCTGTTGGTCGGAGAGCCTTGGTTCCTCCATCTAGCGGAGTCTTTCAGGGCTGGCCCATGTAGCAGCTGCGTGCCGGTGGCTTCATTTTCCTGCTTCTCACCGGATACCGAGCGCAGACCGGCAGGGTGATTTGATGATGAAGAATACTGTACTCAGTGAGTACTTTACCTCTCACATTGTGACCTCCTAAGTGTAAGATTATAATTTTTGCATTTTACTTAGAGTCCGATATCACACTCATGAGACTATTTTATAAACTGCCATGATACAGCAAAAATCCCACTTATTCAGAGCGCAGACATGCCGTGTGTGCTTGCGTGCTTGACTCTGCGGGGCCGGTGACGAGCTAGCTACTGTCTGAGATTTGTGTGCCACATGTCCAGGACACCATCGGGTCAGGATGCAGCCCTGTGTCTCACAGCTTCTCCGTCGGTCCCATACAGGAGGATTGGTGGCCTAATAACAGGGACCCTGTGGCTCTCCGGAATTTTGAAGTGCCTTCTGAGTCCTAAATGACAAATTTAACTTGAGACACTTTTTCTTATTTGTTCAGAATCTGGTATCCATTGGGTAGTTTGATGGAACTGAGTTAATCAGAAGACCCCAGCTGTTCTCGGGATAAGCCCGGCTTTGCTGTATCTGGCAGGCAGGAGAGAGGTAAGCCGGCGGCGGAGGCCCATCGAAGCTGCGTGCCCCAGCGCCAGCGTGTGCTTCTCTGACTAGACCTGGGGCGGAGGCCTCCCCCAACGCCCCTGGCGTGAGCACCCCTACCTCCCCTCCCCACCAGGTGAGCAGTCTCTGGGCGATGGCCGCCTTAGGAGTCCGGGGCCGCGCCACCCGCGCCCAGCACTGCCACACGGGAGCCCAGGCCCGGCGCTGTCCCCGGGATCCGTGCCCAGGGGCCCATGGCCAGGCCAACTTGTGCCGTGGGGAGGTGTCGCCAGCAGGACTCGCAGAGCCACACCGTGAGCTACAGAGAAGCCAGGCTCCCGTGTGGAGCGAGGCCCCCCCACCCCCCCGTGCCTTGATCCCTTGGGGGATGCCTTGGTCATCTCTTCCACCCCCCCCTCTGTCTCTGAGGGGAACAGCTGTCGCTCCCCAGGCCCCTTTGTCCATGTGTCTCTCATGGTCTGCAGAGTTCATCTCTTGATAGGAATTGACGTGGGGACTTGAAGGTGGTGGAATGTCCCAGGTTCCCGGTTGGCGGGGCACTCTCCATTCCCAGGAGTGTAGGAAGCTCCTCAGGGAGCGGCAGTGAAAGACGAGCCGTTGTCCTCATTGGCTGTAACCGAAACCCGTCGTGCTTGTGGCTAGAATTTATAATTTTGCTGAAGATGTAATTTACTGCAGTTTGAAGTGGTGTTCTAACAGTGAGTCCCTTGTCTTGAGGATTAACCTGATTTATAAGTAATACTGACAGACATATTTTCTTACATCCGAACTGAAATAAATGCATGTTTCTAGCGTATGTAATATAAAAGCTCCAGAGGATAAGTTTACATTTAACAAGATGTTGTTTTCTATTTTTGGATTTCTTATTATTTTACCCCCTTTTTTGGTAGTGGGGGTTTAGGGGGAAGCATAATATTTGTATAAAGAACTGTCACCCCAGAGTGACATTTATTTTCCAAGGTGACATTGAACTCACGCTCTTGGTTTCATATGGTGTTTGTGTGCTGTGCCTAGATTCAAGGCCTGAGGATTTGAGGAGAATCAAGACTTTTTCCTCCGTTTGGTTTTCATGTGCAGGTTCTTTTAAATGTCACTTACTTTGCTGAATTTGAGTCAAGCAAGGCCCTTTGACAGAGTGGTATCTCGATGCCTACCAGCGTTTCCAAGCGGTGTTCTAGATGGTTTCTTCACAGATAGAGGAGAGGGAGTCCCTTCCATTCAGCAAGAACCCAGAAAGACTCGGCGGGCTGCCTGAGTGGTCGCGGCAGTGTGGTGGGCGGGGGGCCGGGGGGGGGGGGTCACTGCTGCCCCCGCCCTGCCCAGCAAAACCTAGCTATCCTCACACACCTCGCAGTTTATGTCCATGGCGCCGGAACACCTGGTTCCCCCCCACATTTTTGAGTTGGAAACCTGATGATTCTACCCGGCACTGCAGGCAGAGAGAATTGATGGCTTCTTGTCTGACTCCTCTGTGGCCTGGGATCAGCAGGGCTCAGGAAAGCCGTGTTGTGAATCTTGGATTCCTTATGTTCCTTCTATTTTCTGGACATCTGACCACCAGCAAGAGCAAGGATCCCAAGAGGTCAGTATAGTGGGAGAGCAGAAGCTGTTCACAGGCGTCCCCTTCATGCCCTGGCCCCGCCCTGAGGCTTCCTCCTTAGCTGTTCTACTGGCCCATGGAAGCCAGCGGCCTGCCTGTCCCTGGATGGCCCCAGACCCCGGGTGCTTGCGTGACTTTGTAGCCCATGTCCTGGCTCTCATTGGCATTAGTGGAAGTCCAGCAGGTGATGGCAGGTGCGTGCCACCAGAACTCCAAGCTCTGCTTCCTTGCAGCTCCGGTCATGCACGCCATAGCCTGCACTTGGACTTTTACAGAAGGTCCTCGGCACCTTCAGAATCCCTCTCGCCTGCGCAGACGCAGCTGAATGTCTGGCTAGGTCTCCTGCACCCTAACTTACTGGTCTTGGCCAACTTGGTTACTGCTCACGTGGTGCTCAGGTTCCCTGGTTGCATGAAGACGATGTGAGTGCAGGCCCTTTAGAGCCGCGGCATCGGGCTTCTAGAAGGAGGCCAGGCGCCCCACAAGTGGCGAAGTGGGAGTATCCGTGGCTGGAAGGCTGCCTCCATCCTCTCCAGGCCAGAGCGATTAGCAGGGCGTTGGAGAGGATGTCTAAGCTGGAACCGTGTGGAGACGTGGGAGGGGTGGGTGGTGTACTATTGACACACTTTCTCCGGTCGCCTTATCAGAACTGGAAGGGAATGTTGAACGTGCACCTGGGCATTAGTTTAGGTCAGCAGGCAAATCGAGCTTACTGCAGGCCAGGCCCCCCGCTCCCCACGTTTCTGACCAGCGTTCTGGGAGTCTGCTGAGGGGGAGTGTGTGGTAGTATCACGTTCATCCAAGTCACAGTGATTGATTTTCCACAAAGTGGCAAGTTTGATCAAACTGCTTTTCCTTCAAGACCCTCAGATGCCATAAGAGACAGCGTCGGGGTGTTGCAGGGGACGGGGGCGGTTGCTTTGCCGCTGTCTGGGGGCCGCACAACGTCTGCATATGGAGTGGAGGGGAAAGGGCATCAGTACCAAACAGAATAACCTTTTTTTTCTACAACATCCATAACTGTTACGAGGCTCTGTTACCTACAGATGGTGATTGGTCAAGCCATTTTCACAGAACAATTCTGTTTTTTTTTCCACTTCCTGGTAACTTCTGTAGGCCCTGACTCAAGGACTTAGCATTGTGTCTCATGTACATCTTTTCTTAAATGTTCTTTGCCATTTCTGGAATTGTCGTCCTTGGTTTTTTCCTTAGCTCATAGGTCATAGATGCAGAAATATTATAGTATTTAAGGCATCCGCATCAAGCATCAGATGGCTTTGCATCCAGAAAAACATTTAACGATAACTCCGTTTGAAGCACCACGCATGTGTAACATGGCTCTATAAAGTATAATAAACGCATAATGTTGTTAAGCTTTTTAATGCCTGTGGTTCTTGTTTGTCCCTCAGTCCTCCATGCCTCCTCTTGCGGAGTCTGGTTACACAGTCAGCTGGGCCTGGGGCAGCTCCTTGTGGGTTCCCTTCTGGCACAGGAATGGAAGCTCGCAGGACTCCACTCACACCAGCCAGAAATGCTTCCTTCACCTCTCAGCTGCAAGATGGGCTAGCAGGCCAGAGTTTTAACGAGGACCTCACCCGCTTTCGGAAGGCACAGCCAAAAGAAATGCCCATGTGTTGGGGCCCATGGACCCCCAGTGTTCTTCGTTCTGGGAACGCTGGTGCCAGAAAGAACTCACTACTGGGGATAGACTTAACAAGCTGGATGAACTGTACCGAGAGCTAGTTAGGATTTGGCCAAAAGCAAAATGCAGAAAGGGGTCTTGCTCTCCCCTGGCTGGGCCCTGGTGTCCGAGGTATTGCACCAGGAGGTTTAGTCTTAACTCTCCTTAATTCGTGTGACTTTCCCTTCTTTTTGCTAATGACAGAAGGGGCTGCTGACAGTGCTGTGGAAGCGGCAGCTCCCAGGCCCACGTAAGGCCCAGAACTGCTGAGTGAAGGCTCGAGGTAGAGCTGAGCTGAGGGGTGGCCGTGGTGAAAAGTCGTGTGTGTGTCTTCAGATTTTAGATAGAAAGGAACGGAGGTCATCGAGGGTCCCTGGACTTGCTTTTGTGGGTGCCGCCAGATAACAATGAAGCCAGGGTCCCTCCTTTGCTCTCCAGCTGCCTGCGGCAACCTGTTGCGAACCTACTGTGCCCAGGACCATGCTGGGCATTGTGAGCCACGGTTGCATGTACTCCTCCAAACTGCTGCTAGGAGGGGGAGTTCTGCAGCACTGGCCCCTCGGACACCTTAGGGAGAAGGCGGGTCCCTGTTTCTGGAGCCGGACTCTGCCCTCCCCCACCCCGAGTCTTAGAACAGTGCATCGCTGGCCTTGGAAGCTGGCTCCCGGGGCTGCCCACGGTCAGTGGGCCTCAACCCCTTGTTCTGGCCCCAGCTGCTCCCCTCCAGCTTCCTGCGGTCACTGTGCTGCGCCAGTCTCCTAGCTGGCTCGCTCACCGCCCCACCTGCACCCTGCAGAATAAAATCCAAAGCTTTCACCTACCGTCAAAGCTAAGCCCCAGCCCCGACCCACTTCAACCTCTCCATCTCCTCCCCTCCCCCCGCACGTTTCCATTCCCGAGCCTTCCCCTGTCCCTGAATTCCCGGGTTGGCTCGTTCGTTCTGCTGCGTTTTCGGTGCTGAGGGGAAACTTGCATTACACCTGGCAGGGCGGGCCCGGGGGGCGCTTGCGCCTAGCTGCTGGTAGACCTGGCTCGAGGCCCCGTGAGTCTCCAGCCCCGGCGGTGGCGCCTGCCTGTCCTCCCACGCCTCGCGAGACAAAGTCCTCGCCCCTGTCCTGCCCTCCCTCCCGGGGCCGCGCGGGGCCTGAGGGTTCCGTAGTTGTGCGCCTCCACCTCCGGCCGCGGGGGGGGGGGGGGGGGAACGCTGCGCCCGGCCGCTCCGGAGCCGCGCGGGGCGGGGGTGGAGGGGCAGGTGCGCGTGCGCGTGCGCGCGGCCGGCAGCCGGGACCCCCGGAAAGCCGGCCCTTCTGGGGACGCCGGGCGACTTCCGGAGCCGGCTGGGGCGGGGACGCCGAGGGGCCCCTCCCGCGCGCGCGTCGCCCGCCGCTGAGCTTGCCGGGGGCCGGAGCACGGCTGGTGGGTGGGGCGCAGGCCCGCGTGCGGATGACCTTGGGTCCCAGGGGCTTCATCCTCCCCCGCACGGGCTGGGAGGCTTGTTTCCGAGGGCGGCGTGGGAGGGTAGCCCGGGCCGCGAGAGTTCGGGAGGCCGAGGCTCCTGCTGCCAGCCAGCGGCCGCCGGGAGAGGCCGGAGGGCAGGGGAGCCATTCCAGGAGGGCTCCGGGTGCACCCCCCGGGCCGCGGAGGGGGTGGCTCCCCCGGAGGTGGGGCAGGGCGAACAGAGGTCCCCCGTGGCCGACCACGCCTGTCCTGGGTGAAGTGGGAGAGGAGCGGCCCAGGCCGGGGGGCTTCAGTGTGCTGGTTTGGGAGGAAGGGGCGGGAAGCTCTCCACCCTCCGTACCGCAGGCGGCGGCGGCGGGCCAAGGTTACCCCGCAACAGACCACTTCCACTCGCGTCTCACCTGCTCTTCCACACGCCGCGCTGCTGCCGTCACCCGGTTCTAATGCCCGGTCACTGGCCCCCACCCATTAGTCCCCAGGGGTGGTCCATCTCCATCTGGCCCGGCTTTTCTTGGCCTCCTTATGGTGACCCTAGCCTGCCACTGCCATAGGGGCTCCCAGACCTTGTCTTCACTGACACCTGCCCACTCTAGTCTCCGTCCTGGGGTCCTGCTCTCTGCCCCTCCTGCTTCCCCAGGGTCTCACCGCAGTCTCAACCTGGGCGTCGCCAGCCTAAGAGGTCTTCACCACCCTCCGCTCCAAGCCCCATGTCCTGGCTTCACTCCCCCCTACATTCTCGCCTCCCCTTGCCCCTCTGGCTCCCCTGGCAGAACCCCACCTGGCCCTGGACCCAGCAGCCTCTGCCCTCATGCACCCACCCACTCACACATTCACTCAACACGTTCTTCACACCCGGAGGCCCAGCGGGTACCCCCATGTCTGCTCCCTGTCCTGTGTCCCCATCGTAGTGAATGTTCCCACCATCCATGGGGACAGGCCAACCGGAATTCCCAAGGGGCCTGTCCTGGTGGCCTGTCCCGCCGCCGTACACTCGGGTATTAGTCCTGCTCACTCTGCCGCCCAAACCTGCCTGGATGCCCCCAGGGAAGCTTTCAGGGTCTGCTCACCAGGCCAGGGAGCCTGCCACCCTTGAGAGCCACATGGTGGTGACACAGGGAGGGAGCTCAGGGGATGAGACCCAGCTTGGCACCGCAGACATTTCCTGCCAGGCTTCCCATTTGGCAGCACGTACTCTTCCCGGAAACTTCATGGAAGCACCATGGCCTTGCCCTCGGGGGGCTTCCTTGGAGGAAGACTGATCATCACAGCCTGAGTGCTGTCAGCCTGCCCTGGGACAGTGTGGCCGGGCCAGGGTTGGAGCCAGTGTCCCCCGCAAGCTGGGCTCCCAGCAGCCACTGCCCCTTCTCTGGTGTGCCCAGGACACAGTGGACACCGGCACCAGCCTCCCCCGCCCCCAGGGTGGGTGGGTGTCAGGAGGTCAGCGTAGCGTAGGGGGCCACTGCCGAAAGGGAGCGGAGACCAAGGAGCACCCAGGCTGGGTCCCGGGCCTGTCCAAGTTTCCTGCCCCTCTAGTGCCTGAACTGTCGCTCCAGGCTGTTGTCCCCTGCAGCCACAGAACTTGGCGAGCGGACCACAGGGGACCACAGGAGTCGAGGGGGCGAGCCCGGGCTGATCCGGTGGCTCAGAGGGGCCCACCCGGGGACGGACGAGGGGCTCTTGATTTACGAGTGCCGCTGAACAGCCCCGTGGAAGCAGCCAGTGAGGGGAGCAGGGAGAGGGACGCCGCCATAGCCATTCCTTGCACCGGGGGCCCAGAGGGAGAGAAAGGGAAAAAAGCAATCAGTGCCTGTGTGTGCACGCTGGCCTCCAGCACTGGAGAAATCTGGGGAGGACAGTTGACTGTTGACTATTGTCTGTTGACTCAGTTTCCCTCAAACTGCCATGGGGGCTTCATCCATCACTGTTCCTTCCTGCGCGCTCCTGCCTGCTTGTGCTGGAGCCTTCCCTTCCCAACCTTGAGATGCCCTTTGGTACACACACACACACACACACACACACACACACACACACCACACACACCCCAGGCCTCCTCTTCTCACCCCTGTGGCCCACGCGCCTCATGGCCTCCTGTGGGGTCTGTAAGGCATGAGCCAGAGCCTATCACTGCCCCAGGGAAAACCAGCAAACTCCTGGCTGTGGCCATGATGCATGGCAGAGAACCCAAGGAAGGAGCAGACCAGGCTGGCCCAGGGGTCCACCGAGGCTGCTTCCTCCTCCGCTGTCCCTGCGGGCATCCCAGCCCCATTTCCTTGGGTCAGAAGTCACGGATGTGCCATGGTGCATTTGTCCCTCTTACAAACCTTCCTCAGAAGCCCCAGCCACTGCTTTCACTGACCAGATCTGGGACACGTGGCCACCTCCAGCTGCAAGGGAGTCTGGAAGGGTATTTTCATCCAGACACGCTGAAGCCCGGAACACACTGGGTTCCATTAGAAAAGGGCAGGGTGGCTATTCGGTAGGCACCTAGGAGGCTCAGCACTGCTACGTGACTTGGCCCGGTGGCCCTCTCCAACCTCACGGCCCCTGCAGCGAGCCTTGCTGCCCTTCCCGCTGCCCTCTGCCCTCCGCCCATGGACTCGGCTCCATCTGATCCCTTGGCTCCAGCCCCACTCTCCCCTCCGTGGCCCGGCGGGCTCCTGCCCCGCTGAGACTTCAGATATCTCCGAGAGGACTGTCCCGAGCCTAGAGGGGTAAATAACGTAAGGAGTGCTTATCTGCTGAGATGCCACGCGACTATTAAAAACGTGGCCAACTGGAACACACTCGTCAGGGAGAAGTTCTCTGTTGTGAGTTGAACTGTGTCCCCCCAAAAGATAGGTTGGAGTCCTTAGCCTAGGTACAGGGCCTTTGCGGATGTTATTAGTCAAACTGAGCTCATCCTGGAGGAGGCTGGGCCCCTGTGCCAGCGACGGTGTCCTGATAAACAGAGGGGGAGACAGAGATGCCCCAGGGGGCGGCCAAGTGGGGACGGAGGGGCAGACTGGAGGACGATGCCTACCAGCTGAGGGTTGCCGGCCGCCGCCAGGTGCTGGGAGAGGCGGGGAAGGATGCTCCCTGGGCAGCCTCGGAAGGAGCACCGCCGCTGCCCCGGGGGTCCCGGACCTTCAAGAGAATTAACGTCAGTTTGGGCCACACGGCGTGCGGGATTTGGTTGTGGCGGCCGAGGGAAACTCCTTCAAGTTCACTGTCAAGTCAGCACCCGGGTGGGCACGTTCACCTCTGAGAGCTCCACTTAGACCTCCCTCCTCCGGGAGGCTGTTTCTGGCCTCAGCGAGTGTGCCCTCTGTGCCCTGACCACACCTCTCCATACCCCAGGGAGCTCACAGCACACACCGCCTGGCCAGCCCACGTGGAGGATGAGCAGGGCCCGGGCCTCTCACTGCTGGGAAACCGCAGACGTCTGAGGAGCGTTTGCTGAACGGCTGACACTTCATCCAGCACGTTTGTGAGCTTGCGCACCTAGTCCTCATGCCTACATCAGCCCCATTTTGCAGATGAGGAAACTGAGGGTCTGGATGGACACTGCAGCGTGCCCTGGTCATGCACCTCGGGCCGCCATCAGGGCCCGGGAGCACAGACCACCAAGCCGGCCCCTCTGACCCCAGGGAGGGGGTGGGGAATGGACACAAACAAGGCCACGCTCTTAAGAAAACAAAGAATATTTTATTCCTTCAGCGGTTTCTATACAACAATGACACCACGAGAACAGGGTTGGGAGTCTTCTCTTCCTTGACCCAAGTCAGCCTCCTGGGAGAGCATATCACATTCCCCAAGAGGCTGAGCCCCGCTCGGGGCAAAGGAGGCCATAGTCATCTCCAACTTGTGCAAAACCATCTGCCTCCCTGTGCAAATACATGGCCACGCTGTACTGTGTCCACTAACGGGCCTTCCTCCACGGCCTCACGGGAATACCAAGCAGGAGGAGACTCCCTGGGAGAGACATCATTTGCTGGGGCGTGGGGATCCTCCTGTACCGATCTCCTTGATGACTCCTCTGCACGGCTTAGGCAACCCTGGCCAGTGGCCAGAGCCCCACACAGTGACTGACCCATGTCCCCATTTTACAGACGGGCAGCCTGAGGACCAGAGGGTGACAAGCCTTCCCCACCCGCGGCTGGACTTAACCATTGAGCTCCCCTCCCACTGGCCTGTGCCTGGTCCCCCAGCCCAGCCCCTAGGCTAGTATGGAGCCACCAGCTGGGACATTCCCAGCTGTGCCCCATGGAGAAGCTGGGGTGCATCACAGCAGAGTATTATGTCCTGGGACACCACGGGGCACCCAGAGCTGCCTCTCCGTCCCTAATACAGAGACCGCACAGGTGGCCCAGAAGTGCCCCCTGGAGCTCTGCCAGGTGGCCGACTGGACGTTAGCCGCTGGGTGGCCCATCGGTGGGTCGTCAAAGACCCCACGGTCGTGGCGGCCCGGATCCCGGGAAAGGGCTGGAGTGTCGGCGGGCTTCCTGGAAGACCCCAAGTGACAGCGCCAGGCTCGGCGCGGGGGCGCTACACGCCGTCACCTCTGAGCTCGGCGACCGGACAGTGCGGGTAGGAGGCTCCCTATCTCCCGGCCGAGGGCCCCGCGGACGTCAAGCCTGTGGCCAAGGACCCCCCCACGCCCCCCCCCCACCAGCCGGTGCGTGGAAGGCAGCCCAGGCCCGCTGGCGTCCGGAGCCCGCGGCGCCCGGGCGCCGGCCTCACAGGCTGGAGGGCTGGGCCAGGCCGGGCCCCGACGCGGCGGCGGGCACGGCCTCGCCGTCGGGCCGGGCCTCGGGGCCGCGCGCGTACGTGAGCACCACGGTGACGGTGGCAAAGGTGGCGGCGTTGACGGGGAAGGCGCGCAGCAGCGTGGAGGCCAGCCCGCGCGTGAACACGCGCCAGCCCTCGGCGCGGTAGCTCTGGCGCACGCAGTCCACGAAGCCGCCGTAGCGCGGGGCGCCCCGCAGCCCGTCGGCCTGCAGCCGCGACTTGACCACGTCCACGGGGTAGGTGGACAGCCAGGAGAGGGTGCCCGACGTGCCGCCCGCCAGCAGCAGCTTGGGCACCAGCAGCCGGTCGCCGGGCTCGCAGCCGAGCGCGCGCGTCAGCACGTCGTAGGAGAGGAAGTAGACGCCGAAGCTGGGCGTCTCGCGCAGCAGCGTGGACGCCATGCCCCGGTTGACGCCGCGCAGGCCCTCGCGCCGGTAGATCTGCACCAGGCAGTCCAGCGAGCCGCGGTAGGTGCGCGCCGGCCCCGCGTCCTGCAGCTGCAGCCGCGTCTTGGCCAGCTCCATGGGGCAGCAGATGACGCACTGGATGGCGCCCGCCGCCGCGCCGGCCAGGAACTGGTTCAGCGGCGTGTCGCGGCCCAGCGCCCGCAGGGTGTTGCCCTGCACGCCGAACACCAGCGCGTTGATGAAGGTGAGCCCCATGAGGGGCGAGCCCAGGCCCTTGTACAGGCCCAGCACCTGCGGGGGAGGGGGGGCGCACAGACACGCGTCACGCGCGCTGCTGCTTGGGCCGCCTCCCCGGGACCCCGCGTGCATGGGGCGCTGAGCCCCCCAGCCCACCCTGCGTGTTCAAGAGGACCAAGCCGAATTCTGCTAGAACCCATGTCCTCGAGGTTCGAGGCCTGGGCATTCGCACCTTCCCATTTCCCAAGTCCTCATTTGCCCATAGTCCCCGGGGCGGGGCGGGGGGGCGGGGGGAGGGCACCGTCTGTTCCAACTGTGCCGTCTGGGGCCCAAAGCACTCCAGAAGCTGGTTCCCCACCGCCACCCCCAGGCCCAGGCCACTCACGCTCTCCTGCTTGATGATTGACTGGAAGCAGTGCAAGGTCCCTCGGTACTGAGGCTTCTCCAGGCTCTGGACCTGAAGCCGCACCTGCAAGGACAGGGCCCAGTGAAAGGTGGGCGAGCCAAGCCAGAGCTCCCAGCTCTCTTGCCCCAGCCCTCAGGACAGCCCGCGGAGGCTCTCTGGGGGAAGGCCCAAGGCTGGACGCCGGAGGCAGGGAGCCAAGTAGCTTTCTGTGGCCTTTGGAATTCCGGGATGGGGCAGGGCCGGGTGTCCATGCCTCTTCAGGGGAGGGTATCGGTGGGCAAAGAGCCACAGAGACAGCCAGCTGCATGGGGGGGAGAGGGTCCCCGAGATCTCAGACAAGTAGAGGCTAAGCCTCTGGTTGCATTATGTCTGCACGATGTCTGGGCAGTGGGGCACGAAGCACTTTCCCAGATCTCCCCACTGTCCTGGTGGCAAACAGTGGCCGATGCCAGAGGGGCTCCCCACCTATTCCCATCACCCAGCTCCCCTCAGGGGCTGACAGTGCCACAGTGGGTGTTAAAAGCACTGAGCCTTGGACTCTGAGGGACCCCTAATTTCTGCCGGTAGCCCCTTGTGAGGACAGTGGTCGTTGAGTTAACAAAGCAGTGACAGGAGAGCAGCTGATAGGCTCCTTGGTGACCATGTCCCCACCTTTGGGACCTGGGGGCTCAGGCCCAGCTGCCCTTGGCGCCCCGTAGTCCAGAACCTCTTAATGTGAAAGTGTTCTTTGTTGACGGAGAGCTTATCTCTGCACTTGATACACAGGCCCCACAATGCGGAGCGGGAGCACATTTCCCGACCTCAGAATCCAGGTCATGGATGGGGGTGGGGGGTGAGCCAGGTTAAGTCCTGTTCTCAGGAGCTGACTCAGAAATCACTATACCACAGCCAGGGCCACAGCACGAACACCCCTCTGTGGTCGGCAGCACCGGAGGGCCTACCCCTGGAATCATCAGCCGAGGTGGGTGTAGTTACCCCCACTTCAGAGGCGGGAACACTGAGGCTCAGAGATGTTTTGCAACTCGGCCAAGGCTGTCTGTCCACTCCAGCAACAGGAGTGGCTCGGCTGCGTTGGTTGGTCGCGGCCAGAGCGGGGTGGGGTGCGGGCTGGGGTGCAGCCTTCCAGTGGATCTTCTCTTGCCAAACGCACTTACAAAAGAACATGTTCTGAGAACAAAAAAGCACCATCTCTGCACACGAGAACCTCTGCAGTTGGCGGCCACTGCTCTGAGAAGCGGCTGACAAGCGAGTGCACCCTGCAGCAGGTCACCCCAGCGCCCCTTCCCACCCTGGCGGCCCAGCTGGGCCACGGCCTGGTGGGGGAGGGGTGGATTTTCAGTGGAGAAAAGCAAAAGCGCTCGGGCAACATATTAATGACATAGTAACACCTTAACACCTAATAACATATTAACACCTTGAGCTCTGCTCAGGTTGTTTTTGGGATGTGAGGTTTTTCACTTCCCTTCTGTGTTCTGGGGTCTCTGGTGGGACATTTCTCTTTCTCATGCAGCCACTAAATGGGCCGTGTGAGCAGAAAGGACAGGAAGCAGGGCCAGGCGGGCCCTGCTTGGGTGGGATTTTCAGACACACGTGGATGTCAGCTTGAAGTCTCTGCAGGCTGAACATGCTCTTGCCCAGGCTCAGGCCAGCTTGGGTCCCACAGGGAGCACGGAGGCCCCTCTCCCCTCTGTTTCTGACCCCTGGACCTGGGCTGAGCACTCGCTGGCTGGGAGTTTGGGGGACCAGGTTTGGGGGTGAAATGGGGCCCAAGTCTTGTAATCTCTAGAGTTGAGGTTAACATCCCGTTTAAGGATCCGTGGGCCCGCCCCTGGAAAAGTGGTCGTTCGCACACATGCCCAAAAGGCTCCCAGCTCTCCACTGGGCTGAGAGATGCCCACCGTAGACCCTCTGCTCCAGAGCGGGCTGATTTGTCTCCACCAGCCCCACCTGAGTCCCCGCCCCAGGACCTGTGCCGGGCCCAAGCTCAGCTCAGGCCCTCCCTGTCCCCTGCTAGTCAAGGAGGGCACTGTGTGGGGTGGGGAAGGGGAGGGGCGTGGCAGGGTGCGGTTCAGGCCCAGGGTCTGGTTCAGCGAGGACAGAGAAGGGTGGGGTTCCCCTGGTCTGTACTTACTAGCGCTCTCCAGGGTGAGGCTTACGCTCATCTACAACAAAGTTACACTTTTGCTATGGATGGAGACAGCCCCTAGCTCAGAAAGTAAAGGCGGTTAAAGCAACATAAAATGTCAACATCACATCCAGGCGCGGAGCCCCCAAGGCCCAGCCCCCGACCTCCCCACCCCCTCCCCTGCCCTGGGATGGCCACTCCCCGGTGAAAGTGGTTTTAGACCCACTGTCCCTGATTACGGTCATGTCCCAGGTAGTAGAAGGGGGAGGGGTTGCTAGGAGGACTGGGGGGGGAATTTCTGGACGGCAGACCTTGTTCTGCGCTCCCCAGGCTTGTGCTTCAGGATGATGATTCGTAGATTCATATGCTTGGCATGTGTGTACTTTTCTACATGGTTACATTTCAGTTAAAACAACAACAGAGCTATTGAAGTCAATCCCACTTTTGCCAAACACAAGGAATATATCCCGGTGAGGGTTGGGGAAGAGATCTATGAAGGACTGGGGTTTTTTTTTTCCTTTTTAGTTTATATGTCTCTACAATGGTTAAAAATTTCTTTACAACCTACATTACTTTTGTAATAGAAAGCCAACCAAATAACTGTGCGTGTACCTGATGATTAAAACACATTTTGAAAAAATATCACACGCCCATGGCAGGCACGGTGGCGGAGGGGGGCGGTCCTGAAGGAATGTACAGAATGGGAAAACCGATTTGTCGGTATAAGGAAATAAGGTGCTCTTCTACCTTTCCCAATTTTCTTTTAATGAGAATTGTTTAACTTTTATACTGGAAAAGAGCCAGTAAAAAATAAGGCCATTGGTGGGGAGGGGGCACCTGGGTGGCTCAGTCGATTAAGCATCTGTCTTTGGCTCTGGTTGTGATCTCAGGGTCCTGGGATCGAGCCCCGCATCGGGCTCCCTGCTCAGCAGGGAATCTGATTGTCCCTCTGCCTCTCCCTACTCCCCCGCCCCCGCTTGTCCTCTCTCTCTCTCTGTCAAATAAATAAATAAAATCTTAAAAAAAAAAATAAGGCCATTGGTGACACAGCATTAAATTAAACCAAAGGCGCGCGTTCCTTGATCAGCACAATGTAATAGTGTGTGAGCCTGTAACTAGGACGAGAGGGGTCACAAGTTGAGTGACAGAGGGGATTACTGGGGGCGGGTTTTTTTTCCTATCCGTAAGCAGCTTGGTTTTTAAAGTCAGGTTTGCCCAGATGCGATTGATGCAGGTGGGCCGCAGTGGCCAAAAACAGTCACCAATGGATTTCTTCAAAGACCACCCTCCAGGGGCGAGGTAAGGGGGAGGATCTAAGGGGCAGGAACCCTGTGGGGTGGAGAGGCTCCTGGTCCCCAATCACTGCCGGGGGTGCTGGTCATGGCCCAGGAGCTCAAAGGGGGCCAGAGACCCCAGGACAGGGTCCTCCCCAGCCTGGGGGAACCGAGGAGGGGGCCCAGTGGGAGCGGGGCTAGCTGAGGGGGGCTTGGCCATGCCCAGGCCAAGTCATGGCTCAGAGAGGTGTGGCCCCCGCAACGCTGGGCTGAGGAAGTGAATCCAGAGTCACTCCATGGCCGGATACAGAGGCATTTACAACATGTGACTGCAAAATATAAACCCCAGCAGAGTGCGGACAGTGCCAGGCTCTCCCGGGCTGCTCTGGCCTATGGGCAGGCTTCACGGGGCAGCCATCTGGGCAGCGCTCAGGCAGCTGTGAGGACAGGCAGGCTGTGTAGGAGCACGGGCCACTGTGTGGCAAGAAAGCCTGGTCCTTCCGCTTTCTCCTTAAATTGCATACGATTGGATAGAAGATCTGTGCTCTGCAGAACTAGCATTTCATGCAACCCAAACTTGACTGTTGAGCACCCGGCACCACAAGGGCCTCTGTAATCTTTTTTTTTTTTTTAAGATTTTATTTATTTATTTGACAGAGACAAAATGAGAGAGGGAACACAAGCAGGGGGAGTGGGAGAGGGAGAAGCAGGCCTCCGCGGAGCAGGGAGCCCGATGCGGGGCTCGATCCCAGGACCCTGGGACCATGACCCGAGCCGAAGGCAGACGCTCAATGACGGAGCCCCCGTAATCTTGCCCAACGCCTTACTTGGCGGATGAGATCCCTGGGCCCCGAGGTAAAGCAGCTGGCCCAAGGTCACACAGCAGATGGGCTAGCGGGGGTCCTGGACCTGCACGCAACCTTGGGCAGAACTTGTTCTGGTCAGAGCCAAAACATCTAGCTAGGCCGTCACGCCTGCGCGGGAGGCAACCCCAGCGCTGAGGTCCCGAGGCCTTTTCTTGCCCAAGGACCACCTGACTGCCACTGAAAAAAGAGGGGACAGGAAGTGAGCTCAAACCCAGCTAGGGCTGACATCCTTGCCTTCGCTGTCCCTAGTAGGCACTGCCAAGTTCAGTGTTTACAGTGGGTCACAGGGTCTGGCCTAGTGCCCTGCTGTTTACGGCTTGCCCTGATTCCCGGGGGAAGCCTGCAAGGGAAAGTCCAGACTTGGCTGGTTTCAGGACCTAAAACCCCAACAACAGGGAGAAAATCCTATTTGGGAATTTCCAGCTGGAAAACATGGGTTTCCTTTGTTTCCATCGTGAGCCTCTGAGCACCTGGATCTGGACAGTTTTATCAAGGAGGAGCTGCAGACTGAGTGCCCGCCCCAGGGCCCCACATTGGAGCCACGAACTCCATGCACGCGCACACCAGCCCTTGGGAACCGATCGCTCAGTTTCACGCCAGTGGGGCTCAGCACTCGGTGAAGATCACGTTCACGGGAAATACAGGTTCTGGTTTTTCTGTCTTTCTGTGTTTTCTCTCTAAACTGCACTTTCTTTCAAGAAGATGTCTGGGGGGCTTCTGCATCAGAACAGTGAGCAGCCCCCGCTCTGGGCAAGCGGAAGCCTGCCCTTCAGACTCTCAGTCTCAGGGGCCACCACCATGGACCTCCAAGTTCAGCCCCGAGCTGGGAGATGTAAGGCCAGACCCAGAAAGAAAGTGGACACACAGCCGTCCACCTGCGTGTCACACAATCCTAAGTCTACCTTTATTCCAGAACCTGTGGGAAGACCTCACAGGCGTTCTTAAGGTGGTCACTGGAAAGGGGCCTCCGGTCACCCCAGCCCTCCAGGCCTCGGTGCAACGTCTGCGCCTCCACAAAGACCTGAGAGTAAAACTGTGACAAGACACTCACCTTGACCGTGTCAAATGGGTGTCCCACGAGCACTCCTGCCACACCTGGAGGAAAAAAGGAGGACCGTCACCCAGATGCCTCAGAAACCCGCAGTGTGGGGGGCTTCCGGCTAGGAGGACCATGGGAGCCGCTTGACGGGAACAGAGAATGTTTACCAGGCGCGCCGTGAGCTCTTTTGTCCTCAGGTCTGCCCGAGCAGTGGGGGTAAGAGGGTGACATCCCTGAGGATGAGCCAGCATCTGTCCCACTCAAAGTTGGTGTCTCTCCCCTGCTGCTCACACATTTGACAACAGAAGTCTCCCCCCCACCCACCCACCCCATGCAAACACCTCCCGGCACGGCAGGGGGGCCCAGGGGTTTTGGACTTGGGGCCAGTCACCCAGATTTGAATTTGCCCTCTGCCACTCACCAGCTGGCCAAGCTCCCGAGGAACTCGAGGTCTGCGGCTCACTCCCCTCACCAGTACTTGGTGTGAGCATCCGCTCCGCCAAGCCCCTCCCCCTGCAGTGCTGACCCAGGGCCCGAGGAGGCATGGAGGCATCGAGGTATGGAGGCATCGAGGTATTGCAGACACTGGCTGACCACTCCCTTCCCTGCAGGGGAGCCACCTGACGCCCACCTGACGCCCAGGGAGTCAGCTCCTGACTCTGTGATCATGAGTGATATGCATCAGTCCAGGCCCTGCCCAAACCCCAGCCCCACCTCGAAGGACAAAGGCTCACGCTCCAAATTGGCTCCTAAATACTTTTCAGAGTCCTGAGTGCTGTTCAGGTGTAAATATCACTGGGAATCAGGCACCTTGTTTCCCCATTCACGGAAGGAGAAAGGGAGGCTCAGTGAGGGAGAGAAACCTGTGCACCAACTCCCATGCCTTCCTCCCTAGAATTCTGTGTGTGAATCTCTTAAAGTTCTCCTTTTACCACTCGGAGTATTTATAATTAAGACAGTTACTATTTGTTGAGTGACAAACAGTAATGTTTCTACTGGGGTTCACTGTTGTTAGTTTTGTATGTGACTAACTCTCCCTCTTATTTGTAAAGAAAGGACTGTTAGCCCATTTTACAGGTGAGGAACGGGAGGCTGAGAGAATATGTCCATGTTGCGCAGCTAATAAGTTGGTGGGGTGAGGATTTGAACCTGGATCTTCTGGGCCTGGAGCCCCTTCCTTAACCACTCGTCTCTCTTGCCCCATGTCGGGGCTGGATATCATGGTGGTGGGCGCCCAGGGGTTAGTGGGGATTACCGTGCTGCCTCTTTATAACTTGCAGATCTTTGTAGGGTATCCTCTCCATCCTGTTCAATACTTTGGGCCTTAGAATCCACTGTGTTTGGTGGATTCTTTGCCGATCCTGCTTTCTTTTTGGTTACGTGTGCCTGGTATCGCTTTGTGATGGTTAATTTTTTTTTCAAGATTTTATTTATTTATTTGATTTTTTTTTTAAAGATTTTATTTATTTGAGAGAGAGAATGAGAGACAGAGAGCACGAGAGGGAAGAGGGTCAGAGGGAGAAGCAGACTCCCTGCTGAGCAGGGAGCCCGATGCGCGACTCGATCCCGGGACCCCAGGATCATGACCTGAGCCGAAGGCAGTCACTTAACCAACTGAGCCACCCAGGCGCCCGGGATGGTTAATTTTCAACCTGGTCCTCCTACTTTGTTTTTGATGCTCCTGGAAATGAGCTACAGCTCGGCTAGGCTTTGGTCCCTGCTCCCATCTGAAGCTGTCTCTGATTTTGCCAAGACGGGACATCTGACCCGACTCCATCTTATTTTATGTGAATGAATTCTTTTACTCCTTTTCTTTTCTACATTTTTGCTGGTTCAGGCAAACTGCCGTTTGTCCTCCTGCTTGTTAACGTTTAAGTTCAGCTAAAGGTTACTTCTTGTTTCTAACACTTAGCATTATGTGTAGACACAGGATCAGAACCGTGGCCCCTCAAGGCTCTGTCTGCCCCTCCGCTGTC